ATAACTAGAATAGGGTTTCGGGGTTCCTTACTATATTTATAGTACAATATACCCCAAAATAAGGTTTTGGGGTATATTATACTAGCTTAATAATGAGGAACCCCCAGCATGATACAGGTAATTATTTAGACCCATATACTACAAGCAGTGCTCTGACCCACTTGTCCCCCACAGCAAAGACGATCAATCCGCTGGTGGTCTGAGAAAAAAGTCTCTGTTAGAAGCCCAACCAATCTGACAAAATGAACTATAGCGTAGGGGCTGAGTACCCTAGCCCAAAAAGCTTAACGTTTTGAAGTATAGTAGGATTATAAGCGCCCCAAAAAGTTAAAGGTTACCTACTCAGCCACTAAGATAGTCTAAAATGAACTAACCCTAAACCCTAAACCCGGCACCCTAAACCATTGTCTGGGACCCTTAAGCAACCTCAACCACTTTCAGCCGAAACCTCAAAGGGGTACTCGCCGATCAACATCCTCAGGCACAGAGGCACCACGCAGCTCTGGCCCGGACCGCCCCCACCCAGTGGCAGTCTTTCATGGGGGGTCATGTTAAAGTCCGTGTGTAAGTATTTTGAAAGTATCACCCGGCTGCTACTCCGTCGGGTCAGTACCCGAAGCGGCACATAGCAGTACGCAAGTACGCAAGTGGTTTGCAGAATCTGCTTGGGTGGTTTCTACAGCGTTTGTTGTGAAGCATCCTCCCCAAATCCGGAAACACTACAAGCAGTCATTAACCTTCATTGTTAAGCTGTAGGGCAAACGTGAACCCGATCCTTGTATCCTAAACTCTGCAGCTGAGGCGCTGAAAACATGTGTTGGCGGCTATGCGGAAGGTGGAGAAAGCGATCCTTGGCAGGCCCGCAGCTCAGTGTTTAGGCCCTCATGATCTGAATGGTACTTTAAAGGCCCGCAAACTTGTGTAGACACAGGTTCCGTTCTAAAACAGCAGATTAGCTATCCCTTCCCTGCTTCAGGTATAGGCTGGGCACCATCAAGCAAATAACAAACAATACACTTTGTGAGATCATGGGCTATATTGCACTGGGCTCGCACGTCCTGCCCGATGACCCCCCAGCTTGATGCACACCATGTCTCATACCGCACTATTACGAAAACCATGCTCCTCGCTTCTGCTCACAAGGGAGGCTGCTGTTAACGGACATCTTCTACCGAAGGTTCCTAAACTAGTGTATTTCCCCAGACTCTTGGGACCTAGGTTGGTGCAAGATTTCGTCCACCACCAAGAAAAAACAATTACCTCTACTATTTGGGGGGTTCCTTATTAAAATTATAGTATAATAATGTACCCCAAAACCGCTTCTAATTACTAAGGCCTCAGACTGTGCGCGTGTTGCCGGCAAGATGCTTGTCCGGGCCGAAGGACCAGTGAGCCAGCCAGGCGAGAATCGCGAAGAAGATGCTGAGGACAGGCTCAGGGCTTTGAACTGATCGAAATCGCATGAATAAATGAACGTTCTCAGTTTTGTGTGAGCTTTGAGCCTTTGGTCCCGATTTCTCCCGATATTTCTGCTGTCGTGGGGTTTAGGAGACTATTCACCTCTCAAGTAGCTAGTAGTTATGGGCTTAGGGTTTAGGATTTGGGGCTTAAGGTTTAGGGCTATGATAGCGCCTTCAGGATTCAGCCCGGCCGCACAAGCTTTAATTATTGTTATTTGGGTTTAGGGTTTAGGGGTTTAGGGTTTAGAGCTCCTCTCTACTCCGTTTCCTCTCTACTTTTTGAGCGACCCTGGGGTCATTTACAAAGGCTTACAGAATGGTTTGACTTGGCGGATCAAGGAGAGCTCTTGACACAGATAGCCCAATACCCTTCAGGGATCATGGGACTTGGGGGTTCCAACCAAGATAATTATGCTTATACGGGGGTTCCCGAAAATAGGGGACCCTAATATAGTACCCCAAATAATTGGATCCTTATTATAAGGACCCCCAAAATAAGGTACCCTAATTTTCGGAAACCCCCATACTTGCTGATAACCACTTATCATCCCCAATTAGACTACCCCTTAACTCTCAAAACATCTGAGGGTTACAGACCTTGACTTTCCAACCCAGTGCCTTGACAACCGGTAAGACTGTACCGACATTACTAACATCAGGTTGAGGTCTGTTTGAGGTACCCGATACGGCTGTTATACGGTTCTGGAGCCTGGTAGGCGTTTATTCCGCTACATAAGCTTGCTGCTCATGGTGAGTCGCGCGCTCCAACGCAGAGGACGCCACTACACAACATGATAACAGGTGCTACAGGGATACTTGCCAATGATCGATATGTATAACTAATAGACCTCAAAAGGGTATTAGTAAGTATTTAAGATTAAGCCCCGGTATTGGTTTACTTTGAGGTGGTGGGGCCCTGATAAAGGTTTTTATAGAGCTGGAAAATTCTTCTGTATGTGTATACAACTGTAGGCACCCCGCCCGAATATCGCCGATTACAGTGACGCCCGGTAACCGACTCCCCAGATTCTTTGAAGCACCAGGCATAAAATCTCGGACGTTCTACGCTGCCCCTGTGGCATTCGTGCCCTAAGTTGATTGGAACCGTGTCGTCGCAGACAAGCTGCATAAAAATCAGGCAGAAGTGGAACATGTCGCCGGCTGCTACCATGACTGTGCGGCTGATGAGGTCGACCTTCGGATGCACCTCCATGTACTGGATAAGTCCTTGACTCGTGGGGACAAGAATGGGTGGGGGCTGTTCTCAGGCACCATGGGGTTGTAGAGGGATATATGGCCTTTAGGGTTTGGGGATGTGGGTTTAGGATTTAGTTTCACGGTCCCTGTCAAGAGGGACCATGGAGAATCAGGGGATATACTTGGGAATCGACCTGAGGGTCATTTTTGGTGTAGTATTATCATCATTGTTGCTGCTACTGCTCCTCCTTCTCCCACGTCCACTACCACTACCACTACCACTACCACTACTACTACTACTACTACTACTACTACTACAACTACACTACGTACTACCTACTACGTACACCTGCTGCGTACCACCTACTACGTACACCTACTGTGTACCACCTACTACGTACTTGGCACTATGCAAGACTTCCCCCATCAAGAGCAACATTGCCCACCGTTCAAGACTAACGCAATCTCGCAATGCCTGGTCTCTACCCTTTATGAAAAGTGCAACTGCGAATACTTGCCGAATCAAGACGGAAATATAGCGTTTTCGCTATGGGGACTATTTAGAGGGGTCAGTAGGGATACCAGCACGGAAAACGAAACGGAAACTACTACAGCTGAAACCAGAGTTCATGATCTAGCGCCAGGATCATGGGCTTTTTACTGACAAAGAAAACAGAACATGACATGGGATTGAAGCGGTTATTCTCAAGAATGGCCAATATTCTTGCAGGGTCTATTTGAGACACCCTATATACACTACTTCTGCAAGGACTCTGAGCCCATCATATTGGCGCACAGGGGAAGCATGTCGGGGGGGCTCCCAACCTCAAATCTAAGGGGACTCACCCTCCCCGAAGCAAGCGTGGAACCCCATAAAGAATGGTTCTGTAAGGACAGTAATCTACGTTGGGCCCAATTTTGGAGTTCCACGTGAGTTTGGGGAGGGTAGCAAGTGGGTTCTTTTGGGGGTGTAGGGTTCCGGGAGTGGCGTAGAGGCAGACCTCTTCCAATTAGGGGAATTAAAAACCCTCCCGAGGTTCTAACCTACTTACTGAGTCTCCTGAGTCTTCAAGCCTTCGGTTTAAAACCCCAACACCTATGTTATTATGTTGCTTTTACAACGGCGAAGAGTCTACATGCACAATTCTTGGACCCTCAGTGCTACTCCTTTGCTATCCTGGTATCCCTGTCTGGACCCTGGCAAACCAAACACGTTGGCAGAACGCTTACATCTTACTCAGCCTTGCTGTTTGAAATGGTTTACCTTCAAACTATGTCGAATCCTGTCCCTTTACCCTATATTGCTGCGAGCACTTGCCTCGCACAGCAAATTAAAGCCCGTGCTGGGAACATTCTAGGTTCTGTGTGGAACGGTGCCCCACTGTGAAAAAAGGTCATGCCTAACACACCAGCAAGACTTCAGCCATGTCTCTTAGGAGGCACATGAACACCAGGAAATAAGCCAGCAGCTTCATCAACTCCTGTTCTCTGGGCTTGGTAGCTCTGGCTGAGCTGAAGAGGAGACGTTCCCGTTCTGCAAAATCAATTAAGATTACTTGTGAGGAACCTTGCGAGGAGTAGTGTGTCCGAAGGAGTCCAGGGCGTAGGGTTCAAGCATTAAGGCTGGTGTCATCAGGTGCTAGTGGGCCTCGTGCCAAAGCCATTCCGGCTGTTTCACGATTCGAGCACGCGACAAGCAAGCTTCACGGAATTTCTGTTTGCTCATGAGGAATGCGAACACCACCATTGGTAGTGTTGTCGCGAAGTCGACAGTAACAGCAGCAGAACTATGACTCAAATTTAACGTGCAGAACTGCGCTGAGAACATGACTTAATATTACAGCAGGTAAAGACAGCAAGTCAATAAAATGCCATAATGGTGCCAAACTGGCTTTTTGGACAGTGGCTGCGTTCAAACCTGCACAGTCGGAAGGCATCCAGGAGTTTGCGGCTGGTGATATGCGCATTGCCCAACACAACCCGTTGAGCACCCCCCCCCCCCAAAAAAAAAAACAAGGGAACCTCACAATCCCCCCTTGTAATCCCTTTCTATCCGTTGGGGTCCGTGAGGGCTCCCCCAATTCTGTGAAACTCTCATATCAGGCCCATGGACAAGCCAAGTAAGATCTGGACGACGAAAGTTCAGCTGCCGGGGTTGCATGAGCCTTGTGGATAAACCTGAAACTTGGATAACACGCAGCCTGGTATTGCACCGCATCCTTGATCACGTTTAACGTCTCGAACGAGTCATTGATGACCTCAAGGCACTCACATGGAAATAGGTCGACATTGTTGGGGTCCTCCGGGATATACGGGATATAACAGCTGTTTTGGTTCTTAGCCATTTAGGATTCCGAGCTTGGCTAGAAATGCCTATAGTGCCCTTCACATTACGCATGAACGTACGGGTAGCAGCAAGTGAGATGCACCTGTTTATCTTCGCAGTCTTCAGGATATGCTGCTTCACTTGGAGGACCGTTGTGTTTGTAACTGGCAACAACACAACAACGTCCCATAACTTACAGTTTCCCATAGATATAGCAAGGTCATCACCACAGTTACTAAACAGCCTAAACCCGCGGAAGCTGTGACCATCCGTTCTATGTGTATCTAACAAACGTCTGTTGCAGTTGCAGAAGCTTTGCTAGGTCTTCGAAGACAAATGTTGGACGTCCGACTGTAGAATCAGGTTTGCGGGCATGTTGTACAAGTTACTTATGCTCCTTCGCAGATTATGACGGGAGCGTGTTCCTAACCAAGGATCCACTCTCCTCTTCTGGAGCGTACATGTATTACTTAATTATGTGTATATGTATGTTTATGATGTATTATGCATGCGTCTATGTATATGTACATGGATCTGTATATATGTATAAATATTGATGAGTATGCATATATATGTATATATACACTTCTGTTTGTGGTGATCTGTTTGTTTCTTGATGTGTACGTAGACACTGGTTCCGATACAGGTCCTGCATCAGTTCAGAAAAGCGAGTTGAGTCTACACCTGCTAGCATCTTTTGAAAGTCGTCACACAAGCACTCCGGCATACCCCAACTGTAGTGCGAGCTGAGCACCCTCAGCCCTGAACTTAAATCTTGCAAGCTCTGCCTCAGCCAAAGGCATGTCCGTGAAACTATCACTCGGATAAAAGAACCCTAAACTCTAAACCCTAAGCCCTAGACCCAGGCCTCCTGCAGGGTGGGGTCAATACAAGAGAGAGTTCAGGAGCGACAGGGCATGTCCGCGCTGAGCAGAAACCGACAGCTGGGAGCGCCCTAACCCTAAAAGCTAAACCCTAAACCCCAAACCCTAAACCCTAAAAGCTAAACCCTAAACCCCAAACCCTAAACCCTAAAAGCTAAACCCTAAACCCCAAACCCATCCAATTCTCGACCTGACGCTGCTCAGGCAATTTTTTGGATTTGCCCTCGCCTCCCGAAGTCCTAAATGCCAGGACTTTCTAGGCCCTAGGCCGTGCCGAATCCACAGGGGGTTTAGGGTTCAGGGTGTAGGGTGTAGGGTTCAGGGTGTAGGGTTTAGGGTTTAGGGTGTAGGGTTTAGGGTTACCCGACAAACTCAGGAACGCTCTGCCAAATTTGACACGCCTGGACACCTAGCGTTCCCCAACCCAAAGTATGATTGTATAACCTACATAGCACCCAAAACCTACTACTATGTGCGAAGCACCACGGTTGACGCCAAGAATCCTACATCCTTCTGAGAACGCAAGATTTGGGGGATACGCCGTCGTAATACTGGACCCAAATGATTGCCAATATCATTTGGTACCCTATACAATAACTGCACACGGCATCTAAGACCATCACTTGGTAATTATGAAGGTCACACATAGTACGAGGAACCCTTCCACCGCAAGTGCCGCAAAGGGGCCATTGCGACGGCACTTTGGCTCGATGGGTCTTCCTGACCGCGGCTTTCATAAAGCAGGGCTCGGGGTTTTATACCACTGGAAAGGTTTGGGATTTAGGGTTTGGAGTCTCTATAACGAGGGGTCGAGTATTTTCTGATCTAGATTGGCTCTCCTTGTTATGGTATCATGGAGTTTCAGCTGCTCAGCGCAACTCATGTAATGTCTTCTGGTTGTTAGTAGGAATGGAGGAATGGAAGAGACCATGGAAGCTACCACAGCTCCTCTCACAAGGCTCTTGTGTTTAGAGTCTAGAGTTTAGTGTTGTTGGTTTCGATTGAAGAAGCGGAGAAGAACATGGATATAGATATATACTTATTGGCGGTTCTACGAGGGGGTAAGACAGGGATCATTCCTCGTTCCTTGCAAACCATCCACCTACCACGCCCCGCAGCAACTTCCGTTTCCTGTTATTCCTTCAGTTTTTCAATTTTCAAACAAACAGCAACTTAACCATCGGCTCTAAATTGTACATATTCCTATAAGCCCCTATTGTTGCCGTTATGCTCCACTGGCCTCCCCATTTGATTCTCAATCATCCTAACCCTGAAGCAACAAAAAGTAGCTTCCATTTGATATTGAATTTGCTTTCCCATTAGATCTAAATTTCCTTCGGACAGCCCGTGAATAAACCCCAAATCTTAAATTGAGGCATTCGTCTTCTCTGCAGCTCCTCGGTAAACAGTGGCTTCCATTCTCTTTTCCATGTCGTCATTCTCTAACAAGCAACCATTTCAAGGCCCTAATAAACCCTAAACCCTTGGGACGAAGCCGGTAGGTTACCGATCGGGATGCAAGTCCCGTAATACAGGGGCCTTAATAATTAGACTAAGGGTTTGGGGTATCTCATACTATACTTACAATAAGGAACCCGCAAAACTATATTGTACTTATAAAGGCCCCTTGCAGTAGTTAAATGGGTCGTCCCCTGAACCTTCAAGCGCAAAATCCTCTACAGTTTAATGGTTTAAAGTTCTGGGTTTCGGGCACTATGCATAAATCCAGTTCCCACGTCATAGTACGTTTGGCTATCCACCATCGCAACCCTAATCTTTAACAGGACTGCCGTCTTGATCGGGCCCTCTTTGGGTTTACATGTTAGTTTCCGGGATGGTGAACAATATTCAACCTCCATTTGATTGTCATTTCTTATCTCCTATCCCCCTAAACCCTAAACCCTAAAACCCTAAACCCTAAACCCCTAAAACCCTAAACCCTAAACCCCTAAACCCTAAAGCCCTAAAACCCTAAACCCTGTAAAGGCTGCCTCTAGCCACTTACGAAGCTCTTGCGGCCTTCAAGGAAGATGAAGCCAAGAAGCCCAGCAGCTGCAACCCCAACCTCCCTAACTCCTAGGGTCCTAGGTTTAGGGTTTAGGGTTTAGGGTTTAGGGCTAGACCCGAAACCCTAAAACAAAAAACCCTCAACCCTCAACCCCAAATCATAAAACTCTGAACCCTAAACCCTAAACCCTAAATAATACAACCCTAAGTCCTAAACCCTAAATCATACAACTCTCAACCCTAAATCCTAAACTCCAAACCCCTAAACCCTAAACCCTAACCCCTGAGCCCCAGAAATGAAGAGCCAGGAGGCCACGCTGAGAATCCGATTGACCAAAGAGATGAGGCCCGTCATGGTCCTTAACGCACGAAGGCCCAGGTAGGGGCCTTTTACGAATTGGGGCTTTAGGGTTTAGGGTTTAGGGGTCTAAGGGTTTAGGGGTTTAGGGGCTTAGGGTTTCGGTTTAGGGGCCTTAATAATTAGAATAGGGTTTTGAGGCCCATTATGCTATACTTATAACAAAGGAGCTCCCCAAGGCAGTATAGGTAATTATTTAGGTTAGAAGGGACATCTCCTCCAAGTACCCGAATTAAGATTTAGGGTCCAGGGTGTCAAACGATTATAGGGATCTAAAGGCTTCCTCGGCTCACGAATTGCATCCGGCAAGTTCCATGGTGGGTTGCCAAAGTTATGACCCCCTTAAAGGGCAGGGAAATGCCCTGAGTAGGGCTCTAGGTATCCCAAATCACGCAAAGCAGGGTACTGGAAACTAAACCACCATTGTTCCAGAGTTTGAGAGCCTCAGGAAGATGGACAGTGGCTAATACAAGGGCCAACAGGATCACCAATATCATCTTGAACACCATCTGAGGCACCATGTACACCGCTACCTGGACTTCTGGACTACGATGCTGGACCGAAAGTATTTCGTCTTCTACACAAGATCCTTCAGTGTGCGCTTTGCTTCGAAGCAGGTCTCAGCTTCGGCAGCGCACCTGAACCCCCGAACGGAAGCTGCTGCGTTCAGAATTTGGCCAAGCATCGTATCCTCACCTACGAGGCGATACAGGAGGTCCTGGGTGCCAAAAGCACCAAGCCTGATCATGCAGGGTACATGCGAAAAAAATTACGACCGGGGAGGAAGGTCATGAAACGCAACCAATCACAATAGAACCAGCATCTGCGGCTTTGGTTCTCTCTGTGTGCCTAGCACATGACCCAAGAACCTGCTTGTTGCACAAATCACTCTGGCCCAGTAACAGCACCGTCAGCAAGCAGTCATAGGTTATGCGGCGTTGCGCTTTCACCTTGCGGCGGTATGACTGACTCTTTTACTTCCTCCCAGGCAATGTGAGATGCACCCTGCGCGCAAGCTGTATCACACTGCGATCCCCTGCAAACTGCCAATGCCGAAACCTCAGACGCGGCTTCGTCGGCATGAACAATGCTCAACTGAGGTAGCAGCTCGGCAGCAGCGGCACAGGATGAACAGAATTCGAGCGTAAATGAGAATGAGGAAAGTGCTCCTGACAGCATTGTGCCGCCCGTTAGGTGCTACGCCTTGAGCATAGGCTTACGAGCGTACTGCAGCACTTGGAGGGAACATGACATCAAAATGCCGTATAACGCTTCAGCTCACAACCGTGCGGTTCAGCTTAGACTGGAAACATGAACGGCTTTGATCACAGCAACAGCCGCCACGCAAGCATGCTGAGAGCCGCGAGCAACTTTGACGGATAAACCTATGAGCCACATACATTGACCTTCAAAGTCTGTGCGTGCCAAGGAGCTGGAGGGCTAAGTATGTTGTCCAGCGCGGCGCATCCTTCTGGAACCGATCGTGCTTTAAATGCAGTGCTTGCGAGTTGAAGGCTTCAACGGTGTCTTCGACTCTGTCTAGCTCTCTTTAATCCCTACATCCTACAACTCTTAAACTCTAAAGTCTAAACCCCAAATGTCCCCTCCCCCGGCCTGAAGGACGCTGTGCGTGTTGATGCGCCTGTCTGAAACAATTCGGCCAGTATCCTGGAAAGCAAAGTCCAACCTCAGCCTCGGCGAATCGTGGGGCCTGGTTTGACGGTTTAGGGGAAAACTGAGCTGCAGTTCAGACATGAAAGGGCAAGAGCAAAGGAGGAAGCGGCTCTTGGAAAGAGAGAGAGAGGGAGAGGTGGAGGCAAAGGTAGACAGAAAGAGAGACAAATAGGATGGACAGGTTGAATAGAGAGACATACAAACTGATGGAGAGATACTAGACAGGCACAGACAAACGAACACGCGCACACACACACACACACTCACACGAATGGGTGCTTCCCACTTTGCGTGTTGCTCCACTCGCAAACCAGCTTGTACTCGCCAAAACTGAATAAGGGGACTGGATCTGGACCCAAGGCTCGAATTTGATCGGTTTGGGGCTTGGAGCTTTCTTGTCTGGGGCAGCGTGAGTTTCTCAAACTGCATGCACACCCTGCTTTTTGATTGCACCGACAAATGCTGGCTGGGCAACTACAGCACAAAGATGAGCAACTTAGGTAAGGCAGGTGGAAATAAACATGTTCACTTAACGTAGGGGCCTCAATAATGCTGCTTGATCGCTTGCTGAAACAAATCTGATGGTGGAGAAGGGTCTTGTTCACAAGTTTTGCAAATACAGCCCTGTGCGTCCACATATCCTGGCATCACGGAAGGGGCTCACCTCTCTGAATCTCTGATTTGCTGAACTGTGAATATTTTCTTTGAGGTGGCATAAACTGGGAGTTCTCTCTCCCACATACGCATGGGAGTGGCATAGAGATGTAAGCGGGCCTCTCTGCTGCAGCAAGGACAGGAAACTGTTCCAAACCCAGGGATTTCCAATAGTCAGGGGCCTCTTTTTGGGGGACAGAGGGTTTATATCGGGGTCATATGGGCGAACAATAGGGATATGTTTGGGATATATAGGGTTTAGCGTTTCTGATATCGGGGATTTTTGATTCGGGGGGCCCCATAACCAGGATAATGTTATATTGGGATCTACTTCTGGATCCCTTATTTAGGGGAACTACATTCTCTAACTGGAAAGAGGAAAGGAAGGCAAAGGAGAGGGCGGCAGCGAGATGAGTTTAGAATGAGATCAGCAAATGCGGGAGTGAGGGTAAAGTTGAATGGATGTGCTCGTGGAAAGTAGCAGTGGCTTCACAAACCGCACACTTTGTGGCCCGTATGCGTGAGTCAGACTCTGCTGAAGCACTCGCCTGGTTAGCACAAGCTTGTGAACACTTGTGCGCAGCATTCCCTTGGCCGGCCGCACAGCCATCGCAAGTACTGAGACCACGCTGCTCAACTTCACCCCAACCCTCAATCTCACCACAAGGGAAACATCAAAGCCTTTTCGGTTAGTCTTCCTCACTCCCAATGTCAGCCAGCCAGGGGGAGACTGAGGACACCACAGTGAGACAGCATCTGCGTTGGGGAAGTAGATGAAGCTGGCCACGAAGATGTCGCGGGTCAGATCATCGATCCACTCAAACTCTCGAATTGTCGTCAAGATGTTGTCATCCAGGAACACCTTGTTCTAGGTTTACCTAAACCCCAAACCTGAAAAACTAAACCCTTAACCCTGAACCCATAAAGTTTAGGGTGTATAGGGTTTAAGGGCACAGTGGTGGTCACTTCACTTAGGCTGCTGAACAGAACTGCCCCAGTTTCGGAGCAGCGTCAGGCTTGTGAAGAAATCTTCAAAGGCCCCGGAGCTAAATGTAGGTCTAGGGGTCCTTTTAAAGGGTTCCTTAAAGGGTTCTATAAGGGCTACTATAAGGGTTTAGAGTGTAGGGGCCTTAATAATTAGAATAGGGGTTTTGGGGCCATTCTACTATAACTATAAGAAGGAGCCTGAGGAATAATGTCGGTTAATTTTTTTCGGCTTCCATATTAGGCATTTGGGGAAAACGCTACTGTTGCAAATGACAGATATCAAACCCCTCATAATAGCATTGAATATCCCCAGAACCCCCTAATGTTAATCATAAATATATCCCGAATACATCAGGTCTCTTACGGGGGTGAACATTTCTTGCTGTGGGGGTGGGGGGGGTGTATACCAATAGGGTGACGGAATTGCAGGCCCTAAACCCTAAACCATGAAAGCGGAGAGCATGGGATGCTTGGAAAAAGCTTCTCCGGCATATCTTCGCTAAACCCTAAACCCTAAACCCAGCCAAGGAGCACAGTAGTAGGGAATGCCATCTCGCACCGCTGGGGTGAAGCCTACATGTGGTTCTGCTGAGTACCTCAACCAAGCTGGCTGCTGCTGACAGTTTTAGGGTTCGGGCTTTAGGATTTAAGGTTCCGAATAATGTAGGGGCCGTAAATACGTAGAATAGAGTTTTGGGGGTTCGTTATTATAGTTATAGTATACTTTAAACCCTATTCTAATCATGAAGGCCCCTACATTAAACCTTTGGATCTGTCGGGTTTTTGATATCGTTATCGCGCTTACTCCTCACGTCATTGCTATGCTTGGGTACAGGATGCCAGTATAGTATAGTCTACTATAGTAGAATAGGCTTAAGGTATAGTAGAGTATGGTACAACATATATGGCATGACATCAAAATACAAAGAAGAGCAAGGCAAAAAATAGGATAGGGATATCCCATATAAACCCCCTTGTAATGAAGCCCAATAAGGTAGGGTTATCTCTATAAACAAAATGCTTATGCTTATGTCCCTTTGGGGTCCCTAGAGCCTAGGACATTTTCAGGTGGGTAGTTACCGTTATAGGATCCTTATAGAAGATCTATAGAGCTTATAGAAGCCTTATAGAAGCCCTATAGACCCTAAACTCCCCACCTGTAGTTTCCTTTAGCCAAACCCTAAACCCTAAACCCTAGACCCGAACTCCAAACCCTAAGCCCTGGACCCTAACTCCAAACCCTAAACCCTAAAGCCTTTAACTAAAGAAGAGCGAGGCACTCTTCTCCACGACAGCGCAGGATGCTCGAGTCGCGCGGCGCGTTGAGCGGCTCATTGTAGACAGGGTTGGGCTTCTGGCGACATTCAGGGTTTAGGATTTAGAGGTTGTTGGAGTAGGGTTTAGGGGTTTGGGTTTAGGGTTACGGGTTTAGGGTCATGGGTTTGGGGGTTCAGGATTTAGGGCTAGAGGTTTAGTGTTCATGGTTTAGGGGATGCTTCCAGTCAAGGGACAGGTTCCAACGTTTAGGTTTCAGGCTTAGGTTTGGAAGTTTGCAGCGCAGAGTTTAGTTTTTAGTGTCAGATTTCACTCTCTGCAAAGAGTAACTGGATATGCTGTGTGTGAGGATTACTGCCTGTTAGCGGCTCAGACTCAACGGCTTGATCTAGGAATTGTATGGTAGGCTCATGTTTCTATCCCTACCTAGAAGCTTCTACTCTACCGCTTTTGCAGGGTGCTCTAGCGGGGTGCTCTAGTTTATGCATGCGGTTCTGGGATGCCCTATCTAGAATCTTGCGCAACAGAGAATAGTAGTACAGTAGTACGGTAGGACTTTGGCTTGTTTCGGATGCAACCGGTAAACAAGCGAGTGTGCAGTGAATCAAGCGTCCAAGTACCCAAGCATTCAGGGTTCTATGGGGCCTATGCGTGCGGGGTATAAGGGTCCAAGAACCCAATTAACGGGGCTTCAAGTCCCAAATGCTATCATCTGAATAGCTTTTGGTACCTAAAACTCCAAAATTGGGCATGGGGACCCTCAGAGGGTTATCATGCCGTACTTGCCTGTTGGGCGGTCAAGCTTTTCATGTTGGGGCAAGACCCCATTTATCATGTGAATGTGGGTCTCGGACTCTTGGGAGATTGCTCTTTACACCTATGAACCCTCGGATACTGTAAGAGGCCCAAATAACTACCAATGTTGTTGGGCTCTGCCTGAGGTACCCCGTACCATAGCAGTACAGGGAACCTTGCAGCATCATCTTGGTCACGACTTAGGCTTCTACATATTTCCAAGCTCTCACCAGAAGCTGTGGACGGGTCTCCTGTGCGTTGTAGTTGTCCACGAACTGTGAATCGCAGTCCTTCTCGACGTTCCGCGACTGGCAGATGAAGGGGAAGCCCACCTTGGAATAGGGCTTTTGGTTTAGGGGTTCGACGCTGGCATTCCTTGTCGCCAACGTGCAGGTGGCACACAAACACATACGTGCAATATGCCAACTAAGCTGTGGCTGTCTCGAAGATCCCCAAGTTTGGGAAAACTCAGACATCTGTATGTGCAGGTCTGGCACGGAGGAGGCCGTCATGGAGAACGGCCGATAGCGAACAAAGAGATCCGGAACCCCATTATTGTCTTCGGTGTCGAAAACTGACACAGGGGTAAGCATCCACAGCAAAAAAAACGTATGCACATGATGCATCTTTCCCTCCTGGCCTGCTGCACAGGGATTGAAGACATCAGTGACGCCATCATCATTTGAGTCCCCATTGCCAGAGTTGAAAACTGGCAGGGGCATCCAAGCACGCCGAACAAGACTAATGCACGCCATGCTGTTGCCCACCCAGCCTGCTGCGCAAGGGTTGAAGACATCAAGGACGCCGTCTCCTCAGACTGCCCAAGACCCCGAATGTGCTGTCATAGAAAAGGAACCAAGGTGCCCAAAGTCATCCAAGAGGCTTGTGAAACCTTAATGCAGCTGGAGTTCCAGTACCATTGGCATCGGTACTGCGTGCAAGCCATTTCATGTTTTTTGGGGTGGCCAGGGTTTGAGCAAATTAAAACAATAATAGAAAATGGCAAGAATGCTACGAGTAGTATTGGAGACAATAGCAGTGTGGAGGTTTTGGGCTTGTGAGGTGGGCTGGCTTGGAGCTAGGTATCAATGTGTCCAGACCTTTGTAGGTACAGAAAAACGCGATCGACCCAGCCCGACAATGCGATTTTAGGAGTAGAAGTCGGGGTCCAGACTTCTGAGCAATCTGCAGTGTTCGCGTCCAAAAAAAGCAGAGCCCCCTACATGGTACCCGTACAATTGCTGGGAACCCTTGTGGCGGATCTACTTTTTAGATCCACAAGCTCAACCCCTAATGCCTAAATCCCAAACCATAAATCCCTCAACGCAAAAACCGTAAGATCCTTAAACTCCCAAACCCCTAAGCCCTAAATCCTCAGGCCCCAAGACCTGAATCCTAAAAAATCCATAAGCCCCCCCAACCAAAACCCCTTAAACCCCCAGACCCGAAACCTCCCAGGCCCCCATACCCAAACTCTGTTTAGGGTTTAGGGTTTAGGGTTTAGGGTTTAGGGCTAAATCCCTAAACCCCTATAGCAAACCCCAAAAAGTTGGAAACCGGATTAAGGACAAGTAGTGCTGGGATTCCCTATGCATTACTTTTAAGGATTGAGGCTATCGAGTTTCCAACTTTTGGGCTTCTACTGTAAACCCGAAATCCCTAAGCCCCAAACCCCCAAGTCCCAAATCCCCAAACCCTTCCCCAAGCCCCAGAAGTCCAAACCCTAAATCCTTAAGCCCCTAAACCCCCAAACCGAAAAAACACCCAAACCCCAAAACTCCTACATCGCAAATCCCCAACCTCCGGATTCCTAAGCCCCAAGATGTCTTGATCGCGCTGGCCTCTGCAAGCTCCTCAGAATGCTATCGTGGGAACTTGCCGAGCAACCGCTGGTGTACGAGCCACCCCTGGAACTGCAGGAACATTGGGGTTAGGATTTAGGGTTTAGGGTTTAGGGATTTTGGGTTTCGGGTTTAGGATTGAAGGGTTTAGGGTTTTGGGGTTTCAGGGTTTAGGGTTTAAGTGGTCAAGGACCCTGTCATGGATCATAAGGATATATAGAGTCTAGAGGGTTGTGAATTGCCAGGACATTCAGCTTTCATGCAGGTAGAAATCTCTGCACCTAAATTGAAACCCGCCACCCCCCAAAATTCAATCTTCCTACACAATGACAACATTTAACAGGAGGGGAGTGGGGGGTTCTCCAGAACTAGGGGGTTCTTACAAGGATCCCGTAGGAGTTATAAGGACACGGTTGATGAAGGAATGCTGCACCATCCCAAGTTCCCAAAAACCTAGGAATTACAACAATTTCAGGGCCCTCGGTGGTGCAAGATTCCTTCCATCAACAGTATCTAAGTTTTAGGGATCTAGGGTTTAAGGGTGTAGAGCTTGAAGAGTTGAACAGAAGTGTGGGGGTCAAGTAAGTAAAATCAGGTTTCGGCGCTCGCACTCGGACAAGCCAGGCGAGGTTCTTGGTGCGTGGTCGGTTGAGGTGAGACATATCCAGAGGTTGTCGATTTTCAGGAGAACAAGGCTTGGCGCGTATCATGCCAGAGTTATGTACGGGTTATGACACGATCGCATCGGCGATGATAAAGGTTTGTTGTCCACTACCCTGATATTAAAGCTGCAAAGCCCCTAACGGTAAGAAACTCACGTCCGAGTATGACTGCCATAACTCACATGTACAAGGATAGTTCGTGTTCGGGGGTGTAAAACTAGGGGAAGGGGTTTCCAAAAGCAGAGCGGAACTTAAATAGCTACACTTCAAGAGCTTTTAGGGATACTGAATATAGGATTTAGGACTTGGGTTTGTAGCAACATGCAGGGCTTAGGGAGGTTGTAGGGATATGAGGGCTGAGGAATTAAAGTAGGCATCCTTAAGCTCCCAAAATCAACTGGAGGCTACCATGAGATTATGGTCCTGTTGAGGATTCTACAAGGGTAAGTTTGCAGCAGGGAGACAACGCATGCATGCAACACAGATCTGGGAAATTCGGACGAATGTGCGTCCTGTGCACAGGGTGGGATACCCTAAACCCTAAACCCTAAACCCAAAAATGGCAGCATGCTAGGAGCCCGTAGCGCTGGACTCTGATGTTTTTTTCGGAGAATCTAGCTTAATTAGCTTGATCAGTGGCGGAAGGGATGTGTCAATTTTGAGGTGTGTGCCAGCAAGGTGTAGCTCCTTCAAGGGAATCTGAGCAAACGCAGATGCTTTTTGCAGAGCCCAGGAACCTTGCGTCGCTCGCGTTGTGGCTGCCACCTTCACTGAGCACATTGATCCCAGTGTCCCCGTGCTAGATCACACACGCTGCATTCACCTCAAACGTGAGAGCAACAGCACGCCAGTAGATAGCAAACCCCAACATTCCCGGGAGCCCAGTACTCCAGTACCCGTCAATCAAGGACAATATCTTGAATCATACTCTGAGCTCGACTGCAACAACTTCATACTTAACGGCTATGAGGCTCTGCGCGCGAACCCGTCAGCGGCACAGGCGAGCCTGCATGGCACTCCGTAGCGCCCACCTCGAAGCCCAGACAGACATGTGCGGATGTTTAGGGTTTAGGAGTTTTGGGTTTAGGGTGTAGGTGCTTGACCTCAAAATTCAACTACTTATGAGTTGTCCATTGCTGAGTTTGTACCTCTATCCACTCGACGATGTGGGTGATTGAGCTACCAATACGTCGTGGGGGTCTGACTGTGTCCTTGGAACGGGCTGCCAAGTCGTCCAACTTTGCCCAAGTCATCTGGGGGTTTCCGAAAATAGGGGACCCCAATATAGTACCCTAAATAGTAGGATCCTTATTTTAAGGACCCCAAAATAAGGTAACCCCCTTTGTTATCGGAAACTCCTCTATTCCATTCTATTCCACGGCAGCCAAGAAGCCGACGGCTTGCGTTCGCTGCTGTCCAAGACTTTTGCAACCTCTTCTCATGAACAGCAAGCACCACAAGACATGTGGGCAGTTTTCTAAAATAGGGTCCCTTTTAGTGTCCTGTTTATAAGGGCGCCGTACTATATTGGGGACCCAAAAGGGGACCCTAATTTAGAGAACCACCCAGCAAGCACCACAAGACATGTGGGCACATCTCCGCAAGCAAGCCTAAACCATCCAAGCCACGCCAGCAACCTTCATTGGGTTGTTGAAGTAAGGATGGTCTGGGCATCCGTGCGAAAGAAGAAGCCATTCGCCCTTGCTGGACCTTCTGCACACACAGTGGACACACTGTGTACAGGTCATCTTGCTTTCTGATTCTGTGTTTCCGGATGTATGTGGCAATGACTCGGCTGAGCAGTTCAACAACGGCTTTGACAAATCCGAAAGTGACGGGTTGACAGCTAGAATCCTGAACAATACTCTGAGTACAACACGGGCGCTGCATTGAAGATATGGGAAGACTGACGAACAGTGGTGAGAATCCTGTTTTTGTTGGCTAAGGAACCACACCCTATACTCCTAGATCATAACCCCCATCATGGACTAACTTAGCTGCCTGTAGGTTATTGGCGTCCCCTGCTGGGCTTGGGGTGCTTCATGTTTTGCCGAGACATCGCTTTGGCTTTGCTTGGGGAGCAGGCTTAAGCCACGCAGTCTCCTGCAAGGGGGGAAGGAACATGTAGCCCGATGTAGGGTAAGTACACTACTTTGATGTTTGAAAGTGGCGCAGGATTAAACCAACTCCCGCCATGAGTTTCATGGTATCTTTCGTACTGCGGCAGGTTGTATCCCTGGCGGATCAGGATGCAGATCGTCATGTCTCAATATTTCCCACAAGGGGGCTCCTACTCTCGAGAAAATCCTTATGCAAGGCCCAATCGCATGTACATGCATGTGCAATTCCACCTAACCCTTTTCTATGGGGACACCAAATTTCCTCCAACAAGGGGCTTTGTCTTGGGACGCCCAGAACCCGAAATCGACCTACAAAACCCGGATAACATCTTTACGCATCCCGACAGAACCGTCATATCCGCCGTTTAAATTATAAAGGAAACCACAGGTGGGGAGTTTAGGGTATATAGGGCTTCTATAAGGCTTCCATAAGGTATATAGACCTTCTATAAGGCTCCTATAACGGTAACTACCCACCTGAAAATGTCCTAGACTGAACAGAGTCTCGATTGCTGGACAAGGGACGTCCCTTTGGGCGCGGCCATGCTTAGGCTAGGCTCTCCCCGTACACGACAAGGATTGCCTTAGCCAGAGTTTAGGGTTTAGGAGTTTAGGGTTGAGGGGTTCAATGTTTAGGGCTTAGGGGTTCAGGGCTTTTTGGTTGGTTTTGAAGTGCGCCAAAATAGATCCCAATATAAGATAATCCTTATTGTGGGCACCACCGAAATAGGACCCCTAATTTCCGGAAGCCCCTGACCCTACCGATTACTACGATTTCCCTATATATCTCTATAGAACCCTGCGCACCCGTTTAGGTAGCCCGATTCTGGGAAACCCTCACAGTCACAGGATTACATAATCCCTGCGCTTTCTTGCAATCGAGCCGCCAGGGTTCTCAAACGCGACCTGCCGTTGCACATGTGAGCTAGGCTTTTCATCCCCGTCCCCCAATATGTACAGACCATCCGAATGCAATTCGTCCTTACAAAAGATCCGAATGCAATCCCTCATGCCAGGAAACATGCTTGATTTCAGGGGTTTGGGGGGTTTGTTATTTTGGGGAAGGGGTTTAAGCAACAAATATGTCGCTTTGGGGATCCCAAGATGATTGTCTTCGGCTGTTCTGGGCGCTTGAAGCATCAGGTGGGGCTCCGAATGGCTAGGCTATCTTGCAGAGAAGGAAGGAGCCGCTGTCGAAAAGCCTGGGTGACCCTAACAGGAAGCTGTGCACAAACATCAGAACCCTTGCTGACCCTGTCCACCTGTGCAGGTCGCAATCGGAAGCACTGAGGGAGGAAAGGCTCAGCGACGGACCACACGTAGTGATACTCCTGCCATCACCCATGCGCTCTATTGATCCCTTCCCTTTATGTTGGGTGTGCTGCCAGGAAGCCTGAGCTTAGCTATCAGAACATGGATGCATCGTAAAGAGTAAAAAATAACGCTGCCGTATATGGGGAACGCAACTAAACTTCCTCAGCTGCAACCTAACCTGGTCTGCTAAGCTTTCCCAGACCCCCAAAAGGATCTAAAAAATAGATCCCTTAATTAGGGACCCTAACTACTAAAGGGTACTTTATAGGAACCCCCTGTCTGGGTTACCATCCTTCTCGCCGCTTGCATTCATCTCCCACCGGCCATTGCATTCATCCAGCTCGTTCACGTCGACAAGGCGGCCATCGCGTCCGTACGGGCCGTGGATGGGGACGCCGTCCTGGAGAGCGACTTGCAACGTTGGTAAGCCACAAAACCAACTTACTTTTTCTGTCATGCTCCATACTAAGTGCCCCTGACCTTAGTCGTCTCTAGCTCTGGGTTCAATGTTCCGGGGTAACTTGCACTTCGGCAGAAGTCTCAGAGTTCGGGATTGAGATGGGAAGTCGGCACCCCAAGATGGGGCATGCCTATATCCCTGAGTAAGCCCTTATCCGAACCGCAATTTCCTAAACCCTAACCGCAAGCTCAGCCCTCTTTGGGCGGTCCTGGGGTGAGCAGGTCTGCACAGTACTGCATGCAGCTGACAGATGGTACACCCCAAACCACAATCCCTAAAGCCTGTTTGCTTTAACCCTCATCCCTGAACCCCAATTTCTCTACCCCCCGGAAGGGAATGAAAGCTTGGCAGTCCAGAGCGTAGCCGAGGACTGGCGAGGGCTTCGACAGTGTCGGCCAAAAAGCCATTGGGTCCTGATTTCACATGAGCCATAGTTTAAACTCCCTGCTAGAATGGGATCCCAATACTATCCCTAATATATGTCCTCCTACAAGGAGTTTAAAATGGTACGTATGGTTTTCACATGGTAAGGTTTGGTTAAAGGGCGAAAAGAAGGAAAGGAAAAGAAAGGGGCGAACCCAGTGGTACCAAGAACCATGCACATTCAATACCCCCCTGCATACCTACCCCGTCAATGGCAGTTTCTCAAATTAAATTCCTTATCCCGATCTATCCCTAGAATCTCCCTAAATCCCAAACGGTTTCCGTATACAAAATCAGGGAAACTCCCTCAACCCCTGCGCCCAAAACCCGAATCCAGGGCCTTAATAGGTAGAATAGGGCTTTTGGGGGGCCCATTATCCTATACTTATAATCGGGACCCCCCCAATAAAAATTGTATGGGTAATTATTTAGGCCCCTACAGTCCCATTATACAATACTTATAATAAGGAACCCCAAAAAACTGTATTGGTAATTATTTAGGCCCCGTAAACCCTGAACCCCTAACTAAACCCTCAACCCTAAACCCTCAACCCTAAACCCCTAAAGCCCTAAACCCTAAACCCAAAACCCAAAACCCCTACACTAACCATGCGTTCCAGCTGCAGGCTGCGCCCACCAATCTGTACGGCCAGGAGAGGCCAAGCCTGCTGCGATCTGCTCAATCTGGGTCCCCACAAAAGCATAGAAGCAAAAATTCGGATGGAGATATCCCATAGCTCATATAAACCCTCTTTATAACGAAGCCCAATAAGGTAAGGAGATCCCTACAAAAATGCTTATGCTTATGTCCTTTTTGGGCTCCTAACAATCTGGGTTTAGGGTTCAGGGTCCAATGGCCGAGGCTTTAGGGTTTAGGGTTTTCGGGTTTTAGGGTGTAAGGTTTTGGGGTTTAGGCTTCAGGGTTGAGGGCTAAGAGAAGTGGGGACCTGTGTATGATTGAAAAACAAAGGGCCAAGCTAATGGACAATTACATGGACAACTGGGCCTACATAGGGGCTGTATGAAGGAATGTAGAAGCCGAAGTAAATACTGTTCCATGTCCCTGTGCTATAACTAAAAAACATGCGAGCACAATGTTGGACAGTGCGTAATGTAGGGGCCTGAGTGATTCCAATAGGGTTTTGGAGTAGATAATAAGGAACACCCAAAAGAATATAGTTATATAGCTAGGCCCTATATTAGGCCGCTACAATATCAGAACTGAGAGAGATCGTAAGGTGATAGGGCGAAGGCTTCGGATGGACGCGGCTAACTGACCGTACATCCACGAGCTCGGAGGGCGGAATCAGCCTGGGGCTTCCTTTACATGGTATAACATGTACTTGAAGGTTCAGGGGACTTAGCAGATGGGTTATAAATGGGGCTATAAGCAGACTGACACCATTTACAACCTACTTATCTTCTCCGATGAGCTTTCAAGTACCTGCGGCACGTCACAGGCAGAGTTGCCTGGCCTTGAGCTGACAAATAGCAGGAGGCCGGGAAGTGGTAATGGTAGTGCCCATCTGAATCCACATGGCCGCCGCAGTCGTCGAAATGCCTTGGAGCAGGCTTATGGTGTTGCGGGAATATATAAGGGTTCTACAAGGACCTGTTGGGTTTGCTATGGTCTGTTGGTAGGGGGTTGTAGTCCATGAGACCAGATGGAGCTACACAGGAGGCTCCGGGTGTACATAGCTTGGTACATGAATGCAAGAGAGGTCTGGTAGATCAGGCCGTGCAAGTATAAACACTCCAGCACAAGACAGCTGTCGGATGGAAAGGGCCAGCTTAGCTGTCCCAGAAAGCCGAATAGAATGAAAGTCAGGAAGATAGGATAAATCATCGCAGCAGCTGATTTGGGTAGTCTTCCTTGATAAGGGGGGCTTTGGGCTACCTGCGTTGGCCTTTGAGAACAGTCCGACCAAGCCGACCCACCAAGATTTCACCTCGTTAGCAAGGAAGGAAATGTTGGATCCTCATGGTAGCCCCCTCTATAACCACCAATAACATAGTGGTTTCCATCTTCGCTTCCCCTGCTGCGCAGGTTAGAAAATCCAAGAGCCGGGCCATGCTGTTGGCATGGAGTGACCATGATGCTGATGGGCTCCGATGAGCAAGACTCCATTCAACGCCTGAGATGCAAGCATTCAGGGGGTTCGTCGCTTTCAGGAAACCGAGATTTTGGGAGCCTCGGGACCGTTAAAGGACAACAATGCTACGAGACTCTTAGTCCAGTGCCCGCATGAGCCGCTTCTTCGGGGGAACACTTTGACCTGTACCGGCTTACTTCAAGGCCTCCTACGTAGCTCCTTCTTGGGTTTCTTACGGCTTTTGAGTAAGGGATCGCAACATGCGGGCTTATAGGGTTTGGGGTGATGATCCCATACTCCAACTACCCAAGAGGCGCTGTGGGTACTTTGTGTGTGTTTTGGAACTCTTGGTTCTACTTGGAGGTTCTTAGCACTTGTGACGTACTTAACTCCTGTGCTTCTTGCCAAGCTAGAAGTCCAATAACTGGAAGCCTGCACTCCTTGGGATAGAAGTAGAATATGCGTAATCCAGTTTCCATTGATTTTTTCCATGTTCGTTTCGATTTGATTCTCAACTACTTCCCCAGACTGGGCAGAGTATCAGAGACTTAGGGACAGACAGTTCATAGGAACGTGCTTTGGAGATTGTTCCGAAGATCCTTCTACTTGTAAAGGGGTTATGTACCAGGGTTTGAGTAAGGAAATCTTACAGGGATACACAGCGATTAGGGTTTAAGTTTGTTCTAAAGGACCTTTTAAAGGAAGGAGCGTTCGGAATACACTTTCTTGAATGGAGATCCGAGCCAAACAGGGAACTCACCTGATGGCCATTGCAGGGACATGCATTACAAACTCCCATATCTAGAGTAGGGGGTAGATCGCTCCGAAAGATTCTTGACGGCGGAACATGATGCATGAGCGCTACATCACATTGTTAGTTCGACCTTTGAAATTGCGTGGCTGAAGTAGTTTAGCAAGTCGGCAAATCCCATACCATTAGCAAAGAATGACTTCATCAGAAGGGCAATGCCTCCCTAAACCCTAAACCCTAAACCCTAAACCCTAAACCCTAAACCTATATTTAGCAATGGAGGCCTGGCTCATTAGTGAAGGCTACTCGCACCCTGGACTTGCTTTCAAGTGACTTAAATGACATGCCCGCAATATGCATATCTACATATACAACATGGGAGTTTCCGAAAATTAGGGGTACCTTTTTTGGGGGTCCTTATAATAGGAATCCTACTATTTGGGGTTCTATATTAGGGTCCCCTATTTTCGGAAACCCCCACATAGCACCTGAGAAAGCCCAGCAGTTGCCATGCAATTTGCAATTTCCCTGTCCAATCTGCTTCTCTTAAAACTCGAAATCATGTCATGGGCACTTAGTTCTGTGACTCCCTAACCCTTCAAGGAACCCTACACCCGAAACCCTATAGATCCCGTATTGGAACCCTCAAAGAACCCTGAACCCGAAAACCCCCGACTGACAGGCTGCAAATCCAACGATCCCGGACGTGTTCGCGAGACTGTACGGCTGGCTGGTCGCCGAGGCCTCCGAGGTTCTAGAGTTGGAGTGTGTGGAAAAACTGGGCCCCCACAGCGTTCCTTTCTGTAGAGTTTAGGGTTTAGGGGTTCATAGCTGAGGGAATTTCTCAGAACAGGGTTTAGGATTTAGGGACTCATGGGAGATGCAGTGGCTATGAAGGACCTATGGGAGTCTCTATTAAGGATAGCTTCGATTCACTAGGTTACAAGTATATTTGGGTGATGGGGTCTGAGCTCGAGAATGGTGGCAAAGGGCCTCTACGAGAGAGTCTGATAATCATAGGTTCTGGCTGCGTCCACCAGGCTTAGGGTCTAGGGTATGCCGAGGGCTTAAGCTTCGGGTTTAAGGTGCAGGGTTTAGAATTAAGGTTAGGGTGTTTGGGCAAATGGCTTACATACACTTCATCTTAGCTGCTTTGGGGAAAGCAAGGTTCGATTGACCTGTGCTAAATTGCCAGGCCATAGGCACAGCAGCAGAACATTGCCTGAGATTGATCGACCTCCCCCCCACCTGTCTCACTAGCCCCACGGCCTTAAAACCAGGGCGACCCCCTGAAACCCTAAACCCTAAACCCCAAAACCCTGAACCCCAAAACCCTGAACCCTAAACCCTGAACCCTAAAACCCAAACCCTAAACCCTGAACCCTAAGGAACCCCCCCAAAAAATGATATAACCTTTAACTCCAGGGCCCTAGTCCCACATGGATTCATCGAGGGGCAGCTTCACTCGATGCCACTTCAGGAAGACGCAGCGACGCTGATGCGTGGCCTGAGGCCCAGTCTTGGAGGCGTAAGAGTCCCTTTTTTTCTCTCTTCAGGAGAATCCCTGCAAACCCTTATAGAAAAACAGCTTGCATTTTTAATTTTCCAATCTTCTTTTCCACTGAAGTCTCCTTCATTCCCTATTCCTAACCCCTACAAATACAAACTCCTACATTAATTGATTCTCCAGTAGTCCCGCCACCGATGCGGCTCTCCAACCTGAGACTTCCTGTTTTTGGCATCCTAAGAAAGGCAAATTCTCAAGCATTCGACAGAATGCCTCCATATCATTCTGCTGAAGTGCCGCATGTCTGTGAATGTGAACTCTTAGTTGGCCGAACTGGTTTAGGCTCATGATCGGCAGAAGCCAGCTTTCGATGCTTACATCACACACCGCGACCTTCAGAACGAGGCTTGAGGACTCGCAGTTCGTTTGAGTCTCTGAAAGCATTTGTCTCCGCTTGCCATGGCCTGTGCTCCGTAAGCCCCTCCCTGGAAGCCATCACATCTACACATGCGTGTTGATGACGCCGTTCTTCGCTCCCGAAATCGGGACATCCCTCACAAGAGTTGCCAGGTTTAGCCAAAGGAGTTCGAGCATTTTTTTACATGCCTCTGTTTGAAGTACCCTGTAACCGTATTATTGGTAAAACTCTCAAGGCTCCTACATGTCACGCAGCCTCTCGCTGAACCATGACAAACCTAAACCCCAAACTGGCCAAAACAGAATCCGACCAACCCTGAACCCTAAATCCTTTTTGGGATTCCCTAATAGAATCCTAAATATAAGCCAGAAAAAGGAACTACTATGAGCTGCGGCTGAAAGACGCTGTCGTGGTGCCCTTGGCGACTTTGCGGCCTTGGCGTCCCTCTCGTCCTCCCAGGATGGGTCATTAGGCCTTGTAGTTCCCTCTATAGGGGTTGGGTGTTTAGGGGGTTTCGGGTTTGGGGTTTTAATGATGATGTTTTTGTTGTTGTTGTTGTTGTTGTTGTCATCATTGAGGGTGAGGGGGCAGGGGGAAGACTACTGGCCTTTGGATTAAAGGGGCTCTGTGCGGGTTCCATGTTTGGGGGAGGGCAAGCCTTGTAATTCATTAGAAGGACCCTATACGAATGGTTGATCAAAAGGTTATAGAGGGTGTGGGGGCGTTGAGGCCTCCTTTCCCTGGCCCAGGTATTTCTCTGTGGAGAAGATGGTTCAACAGAGGTACAGTTTGAAGTCCTAGTATCCCTCTGAATAAGCGCTATGACAGGATCCCTACAATCTTTTCTGAATAAGCCCTATAACAGGATCCCTACAATTCCCTCTGAATAAACCCTATAACAGGATCCCTACCATAATCTCCGCACAAACCACCCTTTCCGGAGTCTCGACCCTAGCTCACATCTACCCAGAAAAGACCAGGAGGATCCAAAGCTCAACAAGCTTCCGGCCAGACTGCTAACATAGAAGCCGAAATCATTACCCAGATTGTAGGGGTTCTTATTATACTTACAGCATACAGTATACTGGGCCCCGAAACTCTATTCCAATTCTTAAGGCTTCTACATTCGACATGCCCCAAAAAAACAACGCACCACGAACCCGGCCGACCTCCTTCAGGCGTCGCCAGGACGAACCAGAAGAACCGTTCGAATTGTTGCTGTCGTTGTTGATAATGCGGTCACGGAGCTCCTCTGACAGAGTTTACCTATAGTCTCCTTCCTATTTCCTTTTTGGGGATAAGGTCCATGGAGCCTCAAATAATATACTCTACTATACCATGGTATAATGTCTTAGGGGCTGAGTAGCCTAGCCCCGAAAAGGCTAACCTTTTCGATTATGGTAGGATTATACAAACCCCAAAAGGTTAAAGGTTACCTACTCAGTTACAAAGGAGTTTAGGGTGAAGATCCAGGTCCAGCGAGGACTTTCCGAAGGTCATTCCCGCAAAGAACATCAACAAATTGGGAAGTATCGGGGGGTTTCAAGCGATCTGGTAGTCCGTCTTGCAAAAGCTGCCTTTCATGTCCTCTATGCGGGTGAGCTTTCAAAACAAATCCCATTCTCCTGGACCATGTTGAGCAAAGCTTCACCTAGGTCGAGGCACATGGCAACTCACCGCGGACATGATGTGAGCCACGACTTGGTTGCTTATCCTCTCTTGAACTTGTACTACCCCCCCCCCCCCCCCCCCTCTACTCTGGCCTGGTTCTCCCTTCCCCAGTGATGTCAATTTTCTTTTCCATTCCTCCCTGTAGCAAGGCCTAGATAACCATCTGTAATGGCACCCATCTTCCTTAACCACACGCCTGAACCTCATTGTAATGCAGCAGCTCTGGCTTGCCAGCTTTGACAGCTGAGGTGCTCTGAGCATCCTGGATCCGCTGGTTGTACACGTTGTAGTGATCCTTGCATCTAACCCGCTTACCTTATTTATATCCGTATTCATGGGGCGTAGCAACTCTCATGAACCGTAGAACATTAAAACTCTTATAGTATTCATTTGAGGAACCCTTTGTTGCTAAGTCCCATGAACCAGTAGTACCTCGGCCGTTGGTGCATGCCAGGCTGAGTCCACCCAAGCGGAACACTTGGGGCGGGGGGGG